GGCGAGGAAATGGGAATGGGAGAGGGGGAGGGGATGTGAATGGAGGTGGGGAGGGAGAGGGACACGCCTACTCGGCCGTGGAATGGAGAGAACGAGACGGGAAAGGGCAGCAGGCTGAGGACCCGGCTCAGGACGCTTGTTGCAAACGGGTTACTGGGGCTTGTGGGGGTGATAACTGGGTGCTGCTGCTGCTGCTGCTGCTGCTCCTGGCGACGGCTATCCTGGCGCTTCCGTGTGGTGGCAGCGCCAGTTGTGTTGCCTTGTAAAGGACACGACGTATCCGATGATGTGTTGCCATCCGGTGCTGCTGCACAAGTGTTTGGTACGTCTGCTGTGCCTGCTGTGCCTGCTGTGCCTGCTGTGCCTGCTGTGCCTGCTGTGCCTGCTGTGCCTGCTGTGCCTGCTGCTACAGGATCACCACCAGCATCGGCAGTGGCAGTGGCACTGTCAGCAGCACCCCTGCTGCTCTCCTCCCCCTTCAGCCCGTCACCGGTCTCCTCCTGCTGCTGCTGCTGCTGCTCCTGCTGCTGCTGGCCCCGCTGCTGCCGCCGCCGCCGCTGCCGCTTGTGCTGCCGCTGCTTCTTCCTTGCTTTGACCTTTCCGCTCCCAGCCGTTGAAGCTAACAGAACAGCATGGTTAGGACCGACACTGCGACGAGAAGGAGAAGAAGGGGACGAATCCGCAAGTGGAGCATGGGGGGGGATGTCGGATTCTCGATAGTGGTCAGTGTAGGGAGAGGAGTGAGTGGGGGAGTGAGTGGGGGAGTGAGTGATAGTAGGCGCGCGAGGAGCTGATGCGTAAAGCCAGAGGGAGAGAGGGGCGAAGGAGGGAACGTAGAGCCCTTCTGCGGCTCCAGCTGATGCTGCTGCTACTGCGGCTGAGAGAATCTGGTGGGGGGAAATGACTCCTAGCAACCACCCACTGCCGCAGCTCGTGCCTTTGGTGGTTGCTGCTGCTGGTGCTGCTGCAGAAGGGTTTATGTCAGTGCTGCCGCCGCTGCTGGTGCTGCTACTGCTGGTGCTGCTACTGCTGGTGCTGCTACTGCTGGTGCTGCTACTGCTGGTGCTGCTACTGCTGGTGCTGCTACTGCTGGTGCTGGTACTTCTGCTGCTGCTGCTGCTGCTGCTGCTGCTGCTGCTGCTGCTGCTGCTGCTGCTGCTGCTGCTGCTGCTGCTGCTGCTGCTGCTGCTGCTGCTGCTGCTGCTGCTGCTGCTGCTGCTGCTGCTGCTGCTGCTGCTGCTGCTGCTGCTGCTGCTGCTCTCAGTTAAGTGCATGGGAGCATGTGACGTGCAACATGCAGTGCTGTTGTTGAGAGGAACGGCCAGGAGGAGAAAGAATTCTGCTTCACTCGAGTCAGAGAGTCTCCAAGTGGCTCTGTTGCTATAATCCTCTGTATGTGCGCTTGCTGATTCTGGTTGCTCCTCTGGTTTTAATGCTGATGCTGATGCTGGTGCGGATACTGGTGCTGCTGATGAGGCTGCTGAAGCTGATCCTGGCTGCTTCTCAATCCGACCCCGCTCAGCCTCTTCTGTCCTCACTTCTTGCTCTTGCTGCTGCTGCTGCTGCTGCTGCTGCTGCTCTAACTGTTGGGCCTGGTGCAGAAGCACAGAGAAACGGCACACACTGCTGCCATGTGTACCCACAGCAACCCCAGCAGCATCAGCAGCAGCATTATCCAGGGAACAGCCTAGCAAGGAGAGGGGCAGGGACAAAGGCAGACCCAGAACAGAGTCACACACGCGCAGCACCCCACCTCCCGGATCCACCATAACCACGTGCGCTCCTGCAGCACTCGCATCGCCAGCACTGCCGTCTACCCCTTTGCTGCTGCCGTTCGTGCTGCTGCTGCAGCAACTGCTGGTGCAGCAACTGCTGCTGATTTCGGGGGGTTGCTGTGCAAAGGCCAGTTGTGCGACTAAGGGCCGGGCAAAAGCAGTGGCTGAGGCTAGATCAGAGAAGAGGAGTTGGGCGGAGGGAGTGGAGAAGGGGGAAGGACAGGAAACGAGAGGGGGTATGTGACAGCAGGAGCTGCTGCTACTGCTGCCACGACAGGTGCTGCTGCTGCTGCTGCTGCTGCTGAGATCACTCGCAGCAGTGGCCCCTACAGCTACACCTGCCTCTCCCCCTGCTCCATGTGCTGCTGCTGCTGCTTCTTCGCATACTCGATTCATGGGCACCTGAAAAGCATGGATCTGGGTTTCGTAGGCCAGACAGGGAGCGAAACGAGGGAATACAAAACAAAACAAATGCTCTTTTTTTTCTCTCTCAAGTCCCTCCCTCCCTCCCTCCCCCCCCTCCCCCCCCCCTCCCCCCCCCTCCCCCCCCCTCCCCCCCCTACCCCCCCTCCCCCCCCTCCCCCCCCTCCCCCCCCCCCCCCTCCCCCCCCCTCCCCCCCCCCTCCCCCCCCTCCCCCCCCCCTCCCCCCCTCCCCCCCCTCCCCCCCCCTCCCCCCCCCCCTCCCCCCTCCCCTCCCCCCCCCTCCCCCCCCCTCCCCCCCCTCCCCCCCCCTCCCCCCCCCTCCCCCCCCCTCCCCCCCCTCCCCCCCCCTCCCCCCCCTCCCCCCTCCCCCTCCCTCCCCTCCCTCCCCTCCCTCCCCTCCCTCCCCTCCCTCCCCTCCCTCCATCCATCCATCCATCCATCCATCCATCCATCCATCCATCCATCCATCCATCCATCCATCCATCCATCCATCCATCCATCCATCCATCCATCCATCCATCCATCCGCAAATTGTTACTCCGCATCCATCTAGTCTGCGCAATGCATAGTGCTGCTTCTCCTGGGGTCACCTCACGCTTTCTCACGCTCACCAAGACCACAACAGCACGCATTGCTAACCATGACCCGCCTCCATTCTCCTCCCCCCTCCGCCTTTATTTTTCATCAACCAACAACAATCTCTCACCCCCCCTATTTTCCCCCTCCCTTCTGGTTTTCTCTCCCACCTCTCCTCTTGTTTTCTCTCCCCCCTCCCCCCTTGTCTTCGCTTTCCCCTTATCTTCCTCTCCCGCCCCCCGGTCACCTCCTTCCGCTCACCTGCAGCGCGGATTGCGTCAGCAGCGACTCCACGTGGCGAGCCGCGCGGTTGCATCGATGCGCGAGGTCCCACCATGGGTGTTCCAGCACCACGCACGCCGCCACCAGAACTACCTGCACCAGTAAAACCACCTCCACCGCTCTCAACCCCATCAACAGAAGCCGCCTCCCCCGCGGCGTCACCCCTCCCCCGACCCAGCCCCCCGCACGGCCCACCCCGCTCCCCGCGCCTCCTCTGCGGAGCGCGCGTCCGCCAGGGCCCCCCTCCGTTCCGCCTGCTGCGCCGCCAGCAACGCCGGGGATCGCGGCGAGAGATCCGGTCCTCGCGGTCCCCGCGGAAAGCGATCCGGCGGAAATCGGCGCCGTCGCTGCTGCTGCAGCGAGAGGTAGAGGCGCCGCGGGGGAAGCTAACGGGGTTCCCAATATTGGCGAAACCAGTGGCGAAGGTAGTAACCCTTCGGCGCCCGACCCTCCTCCCGGCATTTCTTCTGTTAACAAACTATGATTACTACCGCGACCGGCTTTCCCGTGGTCTAGAGTTCTTCCGTTATACCCTCCTCGGTCATACGCGCCTCGAGTTTTCCCTGTCGCGTCGCCTCCTAACCGACCATCGCTACCAGTACTTCCTAACAGACCTCCGAAAAAAACCCCTCCTCCTCCTGCTCCTCCTGCTCCTGCTCCTACTCCCCTTCCTCCTCCTACTCTTCCACCGCGGCCACCGCCGCCGCCGAATCCGCCGCCACCTCCGCCACCTCCGCCACCTCCGCCGCCGAAGCCGCCGCCACCACCGCCGCCGAAGCCGTCGCCGAATTTGCCGCCGCCGAAGCCGCCACCAGCGTGCAAACCTCCAACTCCAGCGCCCGTGGAAAACGGGGGGACCCGCCTTTCTCCTAGGGTCCCTAAGCCCGCTGCGGCGTCTGGTCGATAAGCTGCAGAGTTTGATCTACCTCTCTCTCTATCCCGAAACGCCATTATCAGCTACGACTACTACTGAGAATGCGGAGCCTCGCGGCGCGGTAACGCGGAGAATTCTCAAAAGCGACTACTACCAGGAATGTCGCAACGCGGTAAACGGCGACCGCTCCTGTAACATGCGGGACGGTAACTCGAGCGACATTTGACGCCGGTTGCTCTAACAACAGTTGCAATAATAATATCGAGGACTTGCGAACGAGGTTACTGTCGCTCCTGACGCAGACGGGAGTTATCGGCGATCCCGCAGCTGAGGCCTAGTAACAGCACCTGACAGTGCTGCGTTAACAGCTCATTTTTTAGTCTGGCTCAAAAATAGACTCATCTTCCGCACCTGAGGCCTAGCACCAGCACCTGACAGTGCGTGCGTTAAAAGCGTGACATTACTTGAAAATAGTTCTGTGTCTAGTTCGCTAAGAACGAGTACACCTCGCCGCACAGCCATAGAACCAGCAAGTAGTAGGGGAACGTTGGGCCGCCGCTGACCCGTAAGAATCTTATATTCGTGATGTGATTATTTCTCATTCCTGCACCCAGTGGCGGCGAACAACAACAAAAAACGGGTACGTGCTGTGAGGATCGGTGTCTGTTGTGCTTGCAGCTATGAGCTTCTGTTGGGGTTGTAAAAGTGCACGGCGTGTAGGAGGCAGCGGGCAATTGCTGAGCCTGAGCGCGCTAGAGATCGCGCAGAAAGTAATCACGCAGGGTTGTTTATCTGAAGGAATTTCGTTCCGTTCAGGAGCAGAGTTCGCGGAAATTAAAGGCTCTTTATTACAGAATGTACAACAAAGCTTCCAGTACAGTTTGAGAGATTGTTGCACGTCTGACTCAGAAGCCAAATTCAGGTCAGCGAAACCAGGTGTAGATCCTCGAGATGAGTATCTTTCTGAGGCTGGAAATGGATCTGTTTCAATCGACAAACTCAACATTCCATTCCACTACTTGCGTTTGATGCTACTTCCAGAGCAAGTTCGTTTTATCGGTGTGGTGTTCAGTTGAAAATTCTCGCCCAACCAGATGAACCTAAACTGTGTAAACTCTTTGTGGGAACACCCATAACAATAGCTCATCAAATCATGGGCCCTTGTCCTTGGACACAACTACAGTGTACAGACAGAAGGCTCCACCTGGATCCAGAGTTTTGAAAGGTTCATCCTCTCATCTGGGGTGGATAAACCACCTTCTCGCTATTTATTTTTATTCCTCCGTCAGGAAATGGGAGGAACAATATAAGGGCGTGTAACCATTTTGTCGGTTTCGGTTCGTTTAACGAACCGTCCGTGCGATTGTCAAGTTACTGTTTTCCGTTTAATCTCGCGATCTTCTTCGCAGATAACCATGCGACGTCGCACACGAAACGGAACCGGATGGAACTTTTTTAAACCACGGTTCGTCCGAAAAACACAAGCGATTTGAAACCGTCCGATTACCGTTCGTTTACCGTCCGCTCGAAAAAAAACATAACTTCAGCCAAAAGCAAAATGGTTACACGCCCTAACTCTACTCTACTCTGGAAAAATCCCAGAAATGTATCGTGTTCTCAGGTGCACTCTGATGGATGTGCTTCTGGCTTCGTTTGCAGGAAATCTCCCACCGGCAACTTTTGTTGGGAACGAATTTCGAAGGTCTGATGCAGTGTGGTCGGGCTACAATACAAGGCTGTGAATGTAGGATGATTTACCCTATTAACCAGCTTTTGTACCCTGCTAGAACGGTATTTGGAGACTGCACCGCCCCGCTCTAGGCATGACATGAGTTCTGGATTCACCCGCCCGCTCCGACACTAGAGCAGCCTTCTGTCCGTTCCCCCTTGCTCCTCCATGGTCAGATCTTGTGTGTGTGCCTCACCCCACACCCTCAGTCCACTCCCCTGCTCCCCTTCTTCTTGCCCACCCACTCCATTCCTTCCCCTCTGGCAATCAGCCGGGGGGTCGTGAAAACACAAAGCCTATAACACTGCTCGCTCACATTGTCGCGGAAGGTCTACCCTGTCATTTCAGATAAGGGAAACGAACGCGACACTGTCATTTCTTGAGTGCGCCTCTCTGTGTACCCTGCCGTGGCAAGGGGAACCAGGGTCGCAACTCGGATCTGGCAGGGTCCCCCAAAACACATTGAGGACCCTGGTTACAGCAAATCATGCGATTTGCTCTTGTGAAGAAGCGTTGGCTTGAGTGGGTCCCTCTTGACTCACCACAGGATGCAATGCAAGCCCACAACGTGATGGAGCTGCCGCGGATTACGATCCACGCAGGAACGACCCAATCGCAACAATAGCAAGGTGGACGCCCATTTGCATGTGACGTGGAAACCGATCACACGGATTTCGCTTGCTTCCTGGCACTCAATATGACGACATGTGGAACACGTGATATCTACGTCAGCGAAGCGCACGTCGGGAAATATCCTTGGTGTTGATATCCGGAACTACACCTGTTCCCGTTACCTCGTTGCATCCATTATTAGCTTCGAAAAAAACACTTCTATCTGGCACACCAAGTAAAGTGCCGGTGGAATGTTTTTTTCTAGCTAGCACAAAAAGTAATGTGATGCTGGTAGCTACAGCCTTCAAAAGAATGCAGAGATAACGGCATTCGTGTGGTCTTCCACTTGGGTTGCAATGTGGTACCGTATCGCCCCGGATATAGGCGCCGTCCGGTTATAGGCGCCGGCGCCTCTATCTGGAGCATGGCGCTTATGGCCGGACCTCGATTAGAAGCGCCCCCCCTGAGATTTCTGTACTTATTATAAGCGCCACCCTTGAAATTATTATAAGTCTTTTAAGAAACAATTACATTGAAATCACTTACATGACACTTCTAGATAGTAGCTACAACATCAGTGACCCAAAACAGCAAGTCTAGCAACATCACTTCTACCTAACAAGTCTCCTCATCGTCAGATTCGGGCTCCTGGCAGTTGTTCCCAAAAAACCCATCAGCGATGATGTCATCGTCGACATCCACTTCCGCTGTCAGCTGGCTCCGCCTGTGCGCCATGGCGAGGCCGTCCTCACTGCCGTCGAGCGCGTTGCTGATGCCACAGGTGAGGAAGGATCGCTTTATCAGCTCGGCCGGCACTGACTTCCAGGCCTGAGATATCCACCTCAGGACGACATCCGCAGGCGGCTTCTTCAAATTCCCTGAAACATTACGAGAGAACGGTGGAAACCCGTTAGTCCAACAACAAAAGATACCGTAAACAAGGGGAGGGGGGGGGGGGGGGTAAACACAATACCGTGCTCATTCCATACCTGCTGCCGTCAGCTGCTCTTGACCTTCTGCCTCAAACCACCTCTGGTACTGCTGGCGGACCGACGCTTTAAAGCTCTTGTTGATGGAGACATCTAGCGGCTGTACCTCCGCCGTACAGCCCGACGGGATGATTGCCGGCACGCAGTTCATCTCGCGGAGCTTGTCCTTCACTTCCTGGGTGAGGTGACCGCGGTAAGAGTCCAGCACCAGCATCGAGCTCTTGGCGTGTCTGCCGAACTTGGGCTTCAAGAAAGGCTTGACGCCCTCCTCAAGCCAGCGAACGACGCCCGCGGAGTCCATCCACCCGTTCTCTTGTGCAGCCACAACCACATCTGCAGGAATCATGTTCGACCAGTTAGAATTCGCAGTCGGAAGCATGGCGCAGTTAACGAGCAGTGCACCTACCGTATTGACTTACCGGGTGGGAACTTGCCCTTAGGCACGGTCTTGCGCTTGAAGTACACCCACGGCTTCAGCTTCAATCCGTCCGCCGTGCACGCCAACATCACGGTCACACGCTGCTTCTGATAGCCCGCGCTCCTGATAGGCACCGAGCGAACACCCGTTTCATCCACGGTGGTGGTGGCGGGCATCTCCAGCCAGAGCGGCGTCTGGTCCGGGTTGATGATCCATGCGGTGTCGATGCCGCGCTCACTACGCTTGGCACGCACGAACTTCCAGAAGCTCTTGCACTGCTCGGCGACATCTGAAGGGTGGTGGAAGGGAGGACGGACACACATGGCGGGTGTTAGTACAACAATTTAAAAATCACAGGGCAAAGTACACGGGGTAACTCTTACGCGCGACGGTTTTCTGGGCAACCCGGGTCTTCATGCGGACGCTCAGATTCCATCGACGCCGAAAGCGCTGCGACCACCTCTGGCTTCCTTTCCACGGCTTGTCCGGGTACAGCAGCCTCATGTACTCCCGCGACCACTCCTGCAGGCGACCGACGGATACGGCGGTTCCCTTGCGGCGCCACTCGAGAAGTTTCTCGTACACCTTCAACTCCATAGGCCGGTACCACGACGCTCGCCCGCGGCCGTGCATGCGCTTCCGAGCGGAGTGAACTTCCTTGAGGAATTCAGACGCCCGCTTCCAGTTGGTGAGGCACTTGGGGTGGATTCCGCTCTCGCGAGCCAAGGAGCGCACCGACACCGCCAAAGCAAGCTTGGCAACCCACTTCAACTTCTCCGCGGCGGTGTAACCATGCCTCTTGTGGTCGGTGAGCTTGTGCCTGAGAGAGGGGGGGCGGGCATCACGGTTCTGGGTAGAGGGGTGGGGTCGCTTGCGATTGATCGGGGGATAGGAAGGTATCGGCAAGGTCTCGGGAAGCCCGTCGCGAGACCAGTACTCCACGCCGTCGTCGGCATCATCGCCGGGAACGCCTTCTGGAAAAACATCTTCAGCGGAGCCGCCCTCGGCGCCGCCCCCGGCGCTCGCCTCCGTGCCACCCTCGCCGCCGTAAGCGCCGCTCGCTTCCTCAGCGTCAGCGTCAGCTTCCTCAGCAACATCATCGTCGGCGCCGACTGCAGATTCGTCCCACGGGCAATCGTCAGGCTGTCCCCACCGTGAACCAGGCACGTACTCCACTTCGACCTCCTCATCTTGCGCCTTGTCACACTCTGGTTCGGAGAGGAATTCGTCAAACGCCGATGGGAGCAGCAGCGTGAGCACGGGCTGAGCTCCAGCGTGTAGCGGAGGCACAGGACCCTGAGTAGACTGTGGAACAGGAGGAACAGGAGGCTGAGGAGGTGCAGGAGGCGAAGGAGGAGCAGGAGGCGCAGGAGGCGCAGGAGGCTGTGGTGGCTCTGGTGGTGATGGTGGGACCACGCACGCACACACACACAGCCGCCCAGACCACACCAGCATGCCACACGACCAGCTCAGTCCAAAAGAACGGCACACCACCAGCACAGCCAAAACAAATGGCCGGCACACCAACGAGTGTGCTCCGCATCCCGCACACAAATAACACTTACTAGGTGTGGGTTCCCAGTTGGTGTGCTGGCTAGATAGGCAGCAGCAGTTGAGTGAAAGAGAAGAGATTGAAAGAGAGTGAGGAAGAGTGTGAAAGAATGTGGTTTCTGGCCTCTGCTTAGGTAATACCTTCCTGCCCTTGCCGTAACCCACTCTATTGAATGAAAGGGAGCGCTTGAGAAAGAGAGTGAAAAAGTGTGAAGGGTGGCACCTGAGCTGAGGGTAGTCGAAGGAGCTATCGCGGCGCGGATGAAGCGATTGACGTTTGAGACTTCTCAAAAGTAACTCCAATATTGAGGGTAGTCGAAGGAGCTATCGCGGATGAAGCGCGTGAGAATAGGGTGAGCGAGAGAGTGAGCGCTTGTCAAGCTAGTAGTAATGCTTGTAAAGCTTGTGAAGGCTGGGCACCTGGGGGTTGTCAAAGGAGTCGTCACGGATGAAGCGGGCCAGAGTTGACTTTTGAGTCGACTCAGGAGTCGTCTCGGATGAAGCGGGCCAGGAGGTCGAGTGGGGGATGGAATCTTTTACTTTGAGGCGCGTCAAACATAGAGAGAATGAGAACGAAGGAGTGTGAAGGAGTGTGAAGGAGTGTGAAGGCTGGGCACCTGGGGGTTGTCAAAGGAGTCGTCGCGGATGAAGCGGGCCAGGAGGTCCAGGGGAGGACGGAAGGCGGGGTCCACAAAAGTCACCTTTTGAGTCGCCTGGAGAGTGAGTGAGTGAGTGAGTGAGTGAGTGAGAGAAAGTGAAAGCTTGTGAAGGCTGGTACCTGGGGGTTATCGAAGGAGTCATCGCGGATGAAGCGGGCGAGGAGGTCGAGAGGAGGACGGAAGGCGGGGTCTTCACGGAGACACATGATGGCAGCAGCAGCTGTGCGCCACAGTGACGCGCGGTCGTAGCGGCCCCGCAGGCAGGGATCCACTATTGCTTCCACCTGCATGCTCTTCAGCTTTGGGAGCGCCTGCATGAGTTGGTGGTTGAGGATGAGGAATTAGAAGGTGGTTGAGTTAGGGCTTGGGAGAATAGGGTTCCATGGGGAAACGAAGGGCCTGGCTTTCATGGGTCCAGTATCGCATCTACCTGCATGCTCTTGAGCTTTGGGAGCGCCTGCATGCGTGGGCGTTGGGGTTGGGGTTAGGGGAGTATGGGTTGTTTGGAAAAGCATGGGTCGCGCAGGCATGAGTGCACTATCGACTTTACCTTCATGCATGGGCGACCGTTTGGGCCGGGGGGTTTGGGAAAGGGGAAAGGATTACATTGGGATTGGGTTGGGATTGGATTGGACAAGACTTGGGGTTGGGGTTGAGAGGTTGAGGAAGACACTGGGGGATAGGTGTATTATATGTATTTTGAGGCGCCTCAAAATACACCTCACTGCACGCGGTGTATTATATGCCGAAACATGGGCCGTGCGAGCAGGCATCCATCCACCTGCGTGCTCTTGAGCTTCCAGTCTAGGTACGGGTTGTGCTGGGGTTGGGGTTGGGGCACGAGAATATTGTCTTTATCCGGGGGAGGGTTCATCTCCGTGGCATGTTCTTGACACGCCTCACAAACCCCTGACCAGCTGCTCCCTCTCACTCACCCAGCCCAGACCATGAGCTTTTTGTCCTCATCCGGGGGAGGGTCCATCTCAATGGCGCGTACTTTGACACACCTCACAAACCCTCCCGCAGCTCCCCCGCCCCCTCTCCCTCCGCCCTCCCGCCACTCACCCAGACCATAATTTTGTTGTCCTTATCTGGGGGAGGGTCCATCTCAATGGGGCGCCCATTGCCACGCCTCACAAGGCCCCACCCAGCTCCCCCCACTTCCCCCCATTCTCACCCACTACACGAGATCCTTTAGCGAATTGTCAATAGTGAATCACTCACCCAGACGAGGTGACTTTTGAGTCGACTCAAAAGTTTCCCCCCATTTTCACCCTCTCCACGAGATCCTTTAGCGAATTGTCAAGAGTGAATCACTCACCTGGGTGGTGAACCACGGAATTGTTGTCTTCATCCGGGGGAGGGTCCATCTACGTGGCACGACTATTGACACGCCTCACAAACCCCCACCCCGCCCAGCCCCCCCCACTCACTCACCCAGACCACGAGATTGTTGTCCTCATCCGGGGGAGGGTCCATCTCAATGGCGCGCCGCCCGGTGATGATCTCGAGGAGGACAATCCCGAGGCTGTAGGCGTCGGAGGTGGGCCCCATGTCGCCGAACATGAAGTACTCAGGCGCCATGTACCCCAGCGTGCCCTGCACCTCCTGCACCTCCCCCTGCTCGCCCCCTTCCTCCAGGAATAGCGCCAGCCCGAAATCCGCCAGCTGGGGGGGGAGGGGAGGAGGGAGTGGGCGGGGTGCGAGGGAAGGAGGAGGGGAGGAGGGGAAGAGAGGAGGAGGGGAGGGGAGGAGAAATGCAGAAGGGATGATGGAAGGAGGGAGGAGGGAAGGAGGGAGGAGGGAAGGAGGGAGGAGGGAAGAAAGAAGCGAGTGAAGGACGAGGCGATAGAACGTGAAGGTAGGATAGAGAGTGGGGAGAGGAGATAGAGGAAGGAGAGCAGAGAGCAGGAAGATTTAAGAGGCAGGAAAAGCAAAGCAAGAGGGGGGAGAGGGAGGCGCATTGAGGTATCGAACTTGGCTCAGAAAAGGCCGTTGTGATTCACCAGCCCATGCTACAATCAGAATCAACACACCATGGGCTGCCAGTTGCTATCAAGCAGCACGTTGGCAGCTTTAAGGTCTCGGTGCAACAGCGTGCGTCCCATGCCGTGGTGCAGATAGTGCACCGCCTCACACAACCCTGCTGCTGCTACCTGGTTCCTGAGTCCACTCAATGATCAACTCACCATGGGCTGCCAGTTGCTATCAAGCAGCACGTTGGCGGCTTTGAGGTCTCGGTGCAACAGCGTGCGCCCCATGCCGTGGTGCAGGTAGTGCACTGCTTCACACAACCCCGCTGCTGCTACCTGGTTCTTGAATCGAATCAAGAAGCAACTCACTCACCATGGGCTGCCAGTTGCTATCAAGCAGCACGTTGGCCGCTTTAAGGTCTCGGTGCAACAGCGTGCGTCCCATGCCGTGGTGCAGATAGTGCACCGCCTCACACAACCCTGCTGCGATCTGCACTCTCCGCACCCAAGATAACCCACTCGCTGCCCCTCCCCCTCCTCCTCCTGCTCCTCCTTTGCTCTTTGTCTTCTTCCCCTTGCGTTTCTCGCCCTCTGACCGCACTCCCTTCCCGCCACCCCCTGCCTTGCTGCGTTTCCCCTGCCCTGCTGCTTCTCCTAATTTCGCCTCCCTCAGACTACCCAAACTCTCTTGCACCCCAACCGCCTCTTCCTTTCCAATTAGCTTCTTCCCCATCCCTTCTCCCTCCTCCTCTGCTCCCGCCCCATCAGACACTCTCTCCTCCTCTCCTTCCTCCCCTCCCTCCTCTTCCTCCTCCTCGTCCACTTCCTCCTCTTCTTCCTCCCCATCTCCCCCTTCTCCCACCATCCCCCCCTCCCGTATCGCCTTCAAATACCCTTCCAAACTCCCTCTATTCAGCAACGGATAAATCAACATTCTCATATTCCTCTCTATGCAAAACCCAAGCAGCTGGACAATCTTAGGGTGATTCACATGAGTCAACGCACTCATCTCTCCTTCAAACTCCGCCTCACCACTCTTACTCTTCCTCATAACCTTAATCGCCACCTTCTTTCCCTCTAGCAACCTCCCCTTGTACACTCGCGCAAACCCCCCGCACCCAATCATATTCCGCTTCGCAAACCCATCAGTGGCTAGCGCTAGTTCCGCATATGCAAACGCCCGAGGCACCAACGGCAGATTGGCACAACCCACACCACCGGGAATCACAGTTCCATTCGTCCCCGCAGACCCGCTCCCCCTGCTGCTTCCTGCCCCGCCCAAGCCTCTAACTCCCAGCTTTCCTGCGATCCTGTGACCAGCCACTGCCAGCACTGCTCGCTTACCCCGGGTACGAGTTACAGACGAGGAGGCGGAGGATGAAGAGGGGGAGGACGAGGCGGGAGGGACGGCGAGACCTGCAAGCCTTGCCAGGGCAGCAGCAGCAGGGGAAGCGTGGGACGCCTTGGACGGTTGCTGGGCCTGGTTACCGTCAGTCTTGGTGCTGCTGCTGCTGCTGTGTGTAGTGCGGGCACGCGAGGGCGAGTGTGAGAGGGAGTGTGAAGAAGAGCGGTTGTGCTTCCCCGGGCGGGTGCGGGAGGGAGACGAGGAGTTGCTGCTGCGATGCCAGAAGGTGGAGGCCCGTAGCAGAGCACCACGACGGGGAGCAGCAACAGCAGCAGCAGCAGCACCACCAGGTAAAAATTTGGCTCTAGAGTCTCCTCCTCCTCCTCCTCCTCCTCCTCCTCCTCCTCCTCCTCCTCCTCCTCCTCCTCCTCCTCCTCCTCCTCCACCTCCTCCTCCTCCTCCTCCTCCTCCTCCTCCTCCTCCTTCCCTGCCTGTGCCAGCAGCGGCGTCGGCAGCGGCAACAGCGGCAGCTGCTGCGGCAGCAAGAGTGTTGTTGGCGTCTAGACTCATTTCTCCTGCTGGTTCCTCGTCTGCTCGTACCCCCCCTTCCCCTCACATTCCATTGTCACTGCTCTCGCCTTCACGCATATGAGGTAACGAAACGGAGGAGTGGGCGGAGGAGGAGGAGATGGAGTTTGGGATCATGGCAGAAGGTGGGAGTTCGCTTGTGAGATGCTTGCTGGGTGCGTGCTTGGGTAGTCGCATGCTGCGAATGCCAGCCTTGGAGAAGAAAGGGGTGAGAAGGGAGGACCCAGGAGTGCGGGCCGGGGCGGATGGGTGCAGAACGGTACTACTACGACCCGCGGCAGCAGCACCACCACCACCAGTAGCAGCAGCAGCAGCAGCAGCAGCAGCAGCAGCAGCAGCAGCAGCAGCGGCGGCGGCTGCGACTTCCCCGCGCGTTTTCATCCCTAGAACGCAGTCAGTCGTGCTTGCTCTCTGTCCCAAGTCCCCAGCTCTCTGTGACAAAGGACTGGCGTTCCTGCTGCTGCTGACGCTTCTCATGGCACTTCCCGCAGTGCTGCTAACCAAATCTTCACTACAAGCCACCGCCACCACGCCTCTTCCACCACCACCCCCACCCCCATTCCCACTCCCACTCTCCTCCACTCTGCTTCTCCTCCTGCTCTCTTCTCCCTCTCGCGTGCTGCCGATTCCCCTCTCCGCATCGTCTACATTGCTGGTCTCTGTTACCCAAGCCCGGGCAGATCCAACCTCCGAGGCATCTCCCATGCTGTTCCTGCGGCTACGATCGATACTCATGTTACTGCTCCTCCTCCTGCTCCTCTCACCCCTACTGCTGCTGCTGCCACTGTCCCTGCTCTTGCCGGTGCTGGCGTTGATGCTGATGCTCTGTGCTCGTCTGCTTGTTGCAAGCCCAAGCCTGTAGCTAATCTCCCGTATTCCAGAATCAGCACCAGCGGCACCAGAATTAGCAGAACCATTACCGCCGCGATTTTTCCCTTCACCTTCCTCCTCCCAATCCTCCTCCTCCTCCTCCTCGTCGTCCTCCTCCGCCTCCTCTTCCTCCCCTGTGACTCCCATCAGCTCTTCCAGCTTCAATGGCGGAGGCCGCTTTTTAACTTCCCCGTCGCAACCACCACCGCCATCACCACCACCATCACCATCACCACCAGCAGCATCACCAGCACCAGTACCACCACCACTACAGGCACGAGAATCTGACTGTTCATCATCCCCGTTCGCATCCGTCCCCCCCTCCTTCCCCCCGGACTCCCCTCCCCCGCCTCCCGCCCCCTGCGCGCCTCTCGCCAGGCTGGCACTCCGGAACGACGCGATTCGCTGGAGCGTCAGCGTGCGCAGCTGCTGACTCCTGCTGACGTGGCCACTGCTGGATCCGCTCGCGTTTCCACATAACCCACCCACGTGACCCACGTGGCCGTCCCCCTGACAGCTTGAGCCCTCTCCTTCTGCTGCTTCGCGTGCTGCTTTACATGCGTGCCCAGCAGCATCTTCGCCTGTTGTGAAACTCAACCCGCCGCTTTCCCTGCTCCGGTTAGAGCTACTCCTTGAGAGAGACGCTCCGTGTGTCGCCGATTCACTCGGCGGCAGCGGCGGCTTTTGACACGCCGCCTGAGAAGCTGAGGTGCTTTTCAAGTGAGACTCTCTTTGACACGTTCCCTGTGTGAGCTCACGTGACGTTGGCGGTAGTGGAGGTAGAAGAGAGAGTGATGAGGGATCATCAACAACCGTTGGGTTTGGGTCACCATTCTTGCCGAACCCATCCTCACCGCTCCACAACCCATCTGAACCTAGCCCTGCATCGTCTACCCCTGCGCCACTCACCCTGCCCAGCCTGCTTCTACTCATCGATCGATTCCACCCCAGTCCTCCCCTTCCGCCTCCCCTGCTCCCCCCGCCTCCTCCCCCTCCGCCTCCTCCTCCACCTAAAGCAGAACCGAAAGTGGTAGCACGAGGAAACACTCCCACTCTTCTCGGCACTTCCTCCTCCTCTCCTTCCCTCATCCCCTCAGCGTGTCTCACCATGCCTGTCCCCATAGTCACAGCTCGGGGGAAAGCCGCTCCAGCCGCACCAGATGAGCCGTTGGATATGCCCCCCATCATGCTCCCGTGATCATCCCACAGTGTGGCTAGCAGGCGTTCGGCCAGCCTTGTGCCTTGGAACCCTTGCTTCCGAGCAAGCAAATTCGCAACCGCAGAGTCACTGACTCCCGCAGCAGCAGCAGCACCACCGCCAGTTACAACACCCGTTCCGCCCCCCCCACCTCTCATCGACGCACCGGATTCCCCACCGGTTCTCACACCAAGATCTCGAGCAGCGGGTGCGGAGCGGGAGTGTACGAGGGCTCGGCGGCAGGCGGAGATGCGGGAGGTGAGGAGGTTGCTCTGGCGGGAGAGGGAGAGCGCTGAGAGCTCGCCCACTGCTGCTGCGACCTCCGCAGGGGCCATCATGGCCTGTGCTACACGCTGTAACTGGATGATGTGCCACACTGCCTCGTGCCACCGCTTGCGCGCTGTTGTACTGCCGAGAGATGTGGGGTTGCTGCTGGTGTTGCTGCTGGTGGTGGTGCTGCTGCTGCTGCTGGTGGCGCTGGTGCTGGTGCTGGTGCTGGTGCTGCTGGTGCTGGTACAGGAGTTGTGGTCCGTGGTTGAACCAGCACAATCATCATCACCACCACCCTTAGAGCTGTTCCTTCCTGCAGCATTCTCGTCGTGACTGCTGCCTGCACAGTGGCTGTCCCTATGTGTCTTGCCACTCGCTCCCACTGCAGATGCCTGCTCCACTGGTAAACACTCTTGTTCTGTGAACGTTTCCTGGGAATTCTCGGAGAACTCCTGATCAGGGAATGACACTCTGCGCCCTCTGCTCCTCGCTGCTCTCTCCCCTTCCGTTTTCCTTTCACCTCCCTCCTCCTCTTCCTTTCGCTTCTCATCTCGCTCCCCCGCTTCCTCTTCCTCCTCTTCCTCTCGCTTCTCCTCTCCCTCCCCCTCTTCCTCCTCCTCTTCTTCCTCCTCCTCCTCCTCCTCCTCCTCCTCCTCCTCCTCCTCCTCCTCCTCCTCCTCCTCCTCCTCCTCCTCCTCCGCCGCCTCCTCCTCCTCCTTCTGTTGCTGTTTCAGGATTGGGTGATGTAAGTTCGTGAGGACTAAAGACGGAGTGGAGGTGGGAGGGGTAGAGACGGGATGAGTAGGTGGAAGCGTGGGCTCGCCGCGAGAAACGGAGGAGGAGGAGGAGGAGGAGGAGACGATGGAGGTGCAGGAGGGGGAGGAGGAGGAGGAGAAGGAGGAGGAGGAGGAGAAGGAGGAGGAGGACAACGAAGAGGAGCAAGTAGAAGAGGAACAGGTACTAGCGACGGAGCTAGTAGGCGTGTTGTCAGAGTGAGATGCAAAAGAAGATGACGACGATGAAGACGATGAGGAGAAGGACGACGAAGTGGAAGGAGAGGAGGAAGATGAAGTGGAAGAGGAAGAGGAAGAAGACGAGCAAGCCGGTAGCTTGCTTCTCAACGCGTCACCAGTGCTCTGGCTCCGCCTGTGATGGCTCCTATCCACCCCACGGATCTTTCCATACAGCTCTAGATCAATCTCGCCACTCACACTTCGATTCTCGCCCCGTTGCCTCCTCCCTTCTCTCCTTCCAGAACCTCTCTCCCCTCCCCTGTCCTCGTCCTCCCCCTCATATTCCACCTCTCCTTCCTCTCCGCTGCTCGGCCCGTCTTCCCCGGCCGTTCCCCCTCCCTGATTCTGCCATAGCTTCTCCTGCTGCTGCTGCTGCTGCCACGCGGCCCACGCGATGCTCCCTATGTCAGCCGGAGCCACTCTCCCCCCCGGCGTTGCTCTCCCCGCAGATCTCCGCTCGCGCCCACCGCCGGCCCGCGCGGCCGTTTTCCGCTCGCCTTCCACGTTCAGGCTTACCGGGCCGGATCGCACGCGCCTGTGCCGGGGGGGACTCAGTTCCACGTTAACCACGGGAATCCCGCCGCGCATGGCTGTTTTGTGACCGTTACTGCCAGTTGTAACAACATGATTGGAAGTTTTCGCGATCCTTCGGGACGGAGACATTGCCGCACGGTGTAGTAATGATTCTTCATTTACACAGATCTCCAGGGACTCTCCATGGCGGTGACATTCTGGGTTACCGTTTTCAAATCCTCTTGCGCTCCCCGGTGGTCGGACAGAGCGGGTTTCGCGAATTTCGTCAACCCGTCCCCGCGATTTCCGGCGATCATCACGGCGGAGCGTTTCAAGCGGATCCGCGTCATGCGGGTCCCTTGCGCGAGCTGGAGACGCGCGCATCGTGCGAATATTGCTGCTACTATTATTATTAGTAGTAGCAGTCGTAATAGGTCCTGAGTCCGCTCGGCCGCAGCGGTACTGTGAGATTGAAGGATGGCGCGGATGAGGAGGAAGGGCGTCAGCTCGCGACGATCCAACCGTGCACATGAGGACATAAACGAGGTTTGATTCCTGTTTGATAGTTGACTAAAGGAGTTGATTCACAGATAGGCCGTCAGAATGGTATTTAGTTAAAGGATCCGAGTTTCGAGAGGCTGTGTCGGGCCGTCGGAGCGAAGCTCTCCTTGAAGCGGACGGACCAGAGGTGCTGCTACTCAGATCCACTACCCCGCACAGGTCGAGGACAGCAGAAGGGCTTGCTTCAGCGCGATGGAAACAACGCACTCGTCCGAAGGAAGTTGACAGTCTAAGCTTGATCAAGGGAAGGAGACTAGAGACGCAGGTTGAGACCTTACTGTGTGAAGTGGCTGATATTGTCGCTAGCAGTGACCAAGGTAGTCACTGATGAAAAGTCGAACGGACTTCTGAGTCGACCCAATAACGCAGGTTGAGACCTTACTGTGAGAAGTGGCTGATATGGTCGCTAAGTAGCAGTGACCAAGGTAGTCACTGATGATGAGTCGAAAGGAGTGTACGTGTATAAGGCTTCTTCGAGTCATGTTGGGGAATTTGGATGGTGTGATGGTGGTTATTACGCACAACAAGTCACAAGCGGAATGAGCCAGGCACCATGCTTCCATTCCATGCGTGTCAACATGACGACCATGGATGGGATCATGAAAGGACATGATCTGAGAGCTTGGGTTGCAAGCAAAGTGGAATGCGTGCAGGTATTCCCCCCATTCTAGGTGGAAGTGCGGAGGATGGGACACCGGGCTCGGCGCAGACAGCCAGGTAGCCATAGGTTGCGTTGAGTTGCTTTACCTTCTCCAGTCATGGCCGTGTCAGCCATTCCAGCCATGCTGCTGGCATTTTGATTTCCAGCCGCGAATCTTCGCTCTGCTGTTCCGCGTTTCTTTTTCCAACGGCTATAGGACGGGGGTGATGCATATTTGTTCAGGGTTCGTTTGACGCGGTTTAACACGGCCATCAACGTTTGGGAACGGTTCTTGTTTTTAACCTCTTTAGACCATTGCGCACCATATTGAACCTTTCAAAGTCAATTGTGAAATGACGAAAATGCTTATCAGCACTGATCATGAAGGAACGATGCCTAGCGCATGTGCCTCGTTGCGGCCTGAGGTATGGCCCCGAAGCGCAATCTCGCGACAACATCAATGTTGGTGATTTGAAGTGGAGCCCAAGGTCCTGGCCTGTGGAGTTTGGTGTGAAAAACAGCGGTGTAGAGGACTGTATGGTCTGCCCGAAACCGTGACGTACTGGCCTGTGGTGTTCTAATTATTTACAAATGGATGTTTACAACTGTACGGTCTGGCCGAAACTGGGATAACTTGCGATCTTGCGGTCTGACCTGGCATGCCAAATTCCCATCGCAGCCAGCCAGACCTGCCAAGTTTTTCTTCACCTGTGAGACTTTTTAGAACATACCTCAACTGCCCACAGGCTGCTATCCCGCCCGTTGCAACTTAAAGCTGCGGTCTACATACATAATTGCCTTTTTGGGGTACAATTAGCGTGGACACCCTAGGACACACTCTGATTAGCTTGCGAAGTGACCCTTGTCCTGAAATGGGGGTGCGAAGGGGTCAAACAAGACTGGCGAATCCCGCCAGTTTCGTGAAAAAAACTCGGGTGGGAGAACAACCCTCGGCGAATCCTCAAACGTTTCGAGCGGTTTAGGGTTTGGCTAAACTGATGAGCCAATCCTGAGAGTGCGAATTTTCAGGGGGGGATTGCGGAGTTCACAAATCCTCGCCACTGAAGCTCACAGCAACCTGGTTTTCAAGTGATAAACTCAGGCCTCCCGCGTGAGGTATGTAGGCCGCAGCTTTAACAAGAAAACACCTGCCACAAGCCAGCTAAAACGGCAAGCTTCACAGGCTGGAAATTGAAGTGGTAAAAATGACATTAGTGCTGGAATCTACATACCTTTGAGAAAATACATGCTAGAGTATTTACACAGAAACGAAACTGACTGGCTAATCTACTGACATTCTAACCATATACCGCAGTATACTACAAACGCATGCTCCCTTTCCTCCAATAACACCTCACCATTACTCATGCTGACGTTTCAATACCTTCAGCCAGCAGCGCATACCACGTGTGCGTAGCGCAGTGGTTGACGATTTCTGGCCAATGTGTACCTCGACTGTGCTGTGCACGTTTTGTCATGTGAAGTACCCCGCTTCAGCCCTGAACGTTTATTTGTCTTTTCCTTACAAACTTTAAACATAACATTTTAGCCTCGGTGCTTCCTACCCAGGTCCACATTCTCCCAACCTGATTTTCTTGTTTTGACAAACACTTGCCAACCCACATCTATTTCCAGTCCCAGCACATTTTTTTGCCACAATTGCGCCTATTTGTTAGGACCATTTTTGTTCCTGGGCCTAACATCACGAGGCAAGGTGTTTAGGGTTCATGCCTTGCCACCCGAGAGGGTTTTTTTTCTCCTCGCCTTTCCCGCTGCATGCAGTCGCATCGCATAATGTAGAACGCCGTTTTCGAGCTCCTTTGCTTGTCCACTCATTCATTCCTTCCAAAGTTTGACGAGCCGTCTACATTCCCTGGTTTCATCGACAGTTATCTGCTGAATTGCTTCATACGTTGAACCTTCTTCCTCGCTCCTCGTGTCACCTTCTGCAATTTTAGTCGCTAATTGATAACTCTTCGAAAAAATTCTCGCACGCCACTCTTTCGGAGATGCTACTGTAATGTAGTTCACGAGTATGAAGAACAAGAAATCGCCGTCACGATACTTGATTTCTCATTGAACGACCGTCACCACGCGTTACCACAGCGGCAGCGGAAACATTATTATGTAATAGCAATAAAGTCGGGACGCTCGTTACCGTTAGCGTTACCACTGTGCCATCCTCAGCATGACGTGGCCGAGTAGTTACATCTCTCGCTCCTCCACCACACTTTCCGACTTACCCGCTGACGTCATCTATCTTGTCTTGAAGCGACTTCCCCCTAGCAGCGTGCGTCACCTCTCCGTCTGCAGCACGGGCTGGCGAGCCGCGTGCAACAGCGACGCGGTTTGGCGAGCGCTGTACGCGGCGCGGTGGGGCGGAGACGTGGCGGTCTGGGACGGCGCCGACGACGCGAGCCGTCGCGGCGACGTTGACGTTGACGTTGACGATGGCAGCGTTGACTCTTCTCCTGCCGGTTCGTCTCCGACGGAATCCTTCCTCTCCGCATCGCCACCGTCGCCAACAGCAAGTATCCTGCCTCGCGCCGCTGGTTCCTATCGTGCTGACTCGGAAGATACTAAGGTGAGCCCATGGCGATGGCCCCACGTGGCCCCATGTGGGGCCATGTGCAATCTATGTGGGCTTGTACGCACTAGTAATTCTGAACATCCTATAAGCCTCTCCCGTCAGCTTCGTCCAATTTTATTTCAACTCGTCCCCCCACCACATCCCCTCCCTCCCCCTTTCCCTCTCTCTCCCCTCTCTGAACCTTCCCCTCCCGGTACCAGCAACTATCTCCGCTTCTTCTTCTCTCTCCCCCAATTCCCCCCCTCCCCCCCTCTCCCCGCCACTTCCACATTCCTTCCCCCGTTCCCCCGCAGCTCGCCCTCCCCTCCTCCTGGCGCAGACCCGTGTCAGAGCGCCCCTTCCCCCTCTCCTGGCGCCAACGCTTCCGCCAGCGCGCAGCAGCAGTGGGGGAGTCGGCGGCGCTGCTGACGTCGCTCGTGACGTCAGCAGCGCGCCACGATTCGCTGGAGATTAAGGAGTATCAGGTCGCGCTGGGCCTCCTCGCGTGCTCGCGCCTCGTCCTTGCTGACGTGGCGAGGCTGCTTCTTAGGCCGCAGCTGTCGGTGCTACTTAATATTTTGGGGGTGCATTATGCTCTCATGAACCTAAGAGTTGAGGTGAGCTTGTGAAGTTCGGACGAGAATGAGGGGTGGGGAGAAGAGTGGGAGCGGAGAGGAGGAGGGCGAAGGTGTGGGAGAGAAGGGGGAGGGAGAGGGGGGAATGTGGTTGAAGAAGGGTGTGAGATGGATGAAGGGGAGGGGGGAGAGGATGGAGCAGATGATGAGTGCCAAGGGTGGCATAGTTGTGCATGCATTTGCGGATAAGCCGGGGGCATCTCTCATGGGTGTGCAATGTGCACTAGAGTACTGTCAATGCATGCATACAACTCTTTCTGCACTCTGTGCACTTAAAGCGCTCTGACTCAGAACCATTTTCTCCCTTCCCCTGCTCGTTTCGACTCTGCCACCTTCCCATGTCCCCCAGCCGTCTCTCCTGCTCTCTGCCCTGCAGGCCTCGGGTACAGCAAGCAAGGTGGTGTGTGTGCGGTGGTGGGTGCTGAGAGCATGGGGGCACGTGGGGTTCCGAATGAGAGACGAGATGCTAACCGCTTCTGTGCAGCTTAAAGACTTTGCTGCTGCTGCTGTTGCTCCTGCTGCTGTCGCTGCCGCTGCTGACGGTGATGATGGCACTGGTACTGCTCTTGCTGCTGCCAATTCTCCTCCTGCCGCCCCTTCTGCAGCTTCTGTTGCCGAACCTGTCATACCTCGTCTGGAACCTGCTACCTCTCGTGCCGAGCCTGTGCTCTCCGCAGCAACACCTGAGGCTCGGAGGCTGTTGGGAGTGGTGTGCAGGGGAGCAGTGCACGAGGTAATGAGAGTGCAGATTGCAGCTGATTTCACCACCAGTGCATGGGTCGCAAGGGACATGCACTCGCAGCTTTAGGTGCCTCAGGGTAGCTAGGTGCCTCAGGGTAGCTAGGTGCCTCAGGGTAGCTAGGTGCCTCAGGGTAGCTAGGTGCCTCAGGGTAGCTAGGTGCCTCAGGGTAGTTTTCTTGGGCCGTGAATTCAACGGGGGACAGGGTCCCTTGGCCCATTCATGGGAGCAGGTTGCATCACAACACGACACTTAGTATTGTAAATATATGGTAGTACAAATTGGTTATGCTGCCATGGAAAACAAGCTGTGCCTAGAAATGTTCTGTTAAAATGTGTGTAGTTTTGAATGACTGTAACATAGTGTACAGTTGTACAACTATAAGGTGTTTGAAGCGGATTAAAAGCATACCGCATTCACCAAGTTTATTTCCAAGCAAAGAACACTTCCCCAGACATCGTAGTGCATCAAACCGGAGAAAAACACAGATGCACTTGCTGAATCTAGTGCAGCAGAGCAGCAACCGTCACAACATCGTTCCCAGGAGCAGAGGAGCAACAGCTGCATGATCAGCGGCCGCACTAGTACCGGTAGTACATACATCATGTGGGCGGCTCTTCCCGTGGAGTCGCAGAGGGCTTGACTCTCCGAGCGACAACTGGCTTTCCAGTCGACTCAGAAACAGAAGCAGCAGCACTAGTACCACTAGTACATACATCATGTGGGCGGCTCTTCCTGTGAAGCGCAGAGGGCTTGACTCTCCGAGCCACAACCGTCTGTGGCACAAAGTCTGTTGTGTGCACCGTTAGAATGACACAGCGCGGAGAGAGAGGGCGGGAGAGGAAGCAGGGGAGAATAAAAAGGGGGGGTGGGGGGGAAGGGGGGAAGAGGGGGCGGGGGGGGAAGGGAAGGGGAGAGCGGAGGCGGAGGGGAGGGGCAGAAAGGGGAAAGGGTGCCAAGCAAGGGAGAGAGAGGCAGAGGGGAAGTTGGGGTGAATAGAAGGGGAAGGTCAGCCCTCAGGAGCAGGTTGAGTATAAAGAGAATTTGTCAAAGACTGTACACTGTAACGAGTGTAGAGTGTAGAAGAGGGATCGAGAAGGGATTTTGTTGCCAATAAAAAAGAGATTGAGAAGAAGAAGAAGAGGCAACACACGCGATTCCAAACAGTGCTCGTGTGATCCCAAGTGACACATGAGGTCCCATCTGAATCTAACCTGACAGAAAGTCGAAACGAGGAGTGTCCGAAACAACAGAAGCTGCGCAGTGCAACAAGAAAAGGAAGGGGGAGGGGGGAGAAAGGAAGGAGAAAGGCAGAACGGGAGAAAGGGGAGTGGCGGAAGGGGGAAGGAGAGGGAAGACGGGGGAAGCGGGAAACGGAGGGGGGATGGGGAAATCGGTGATGAGTAAGGGGGAGAGAAGAGGCGTTGACAAGGCTGGCCCGGCTGGGCTGGAATGGGAGAGAGGCTGAGCACCCGTGGGGTGCATGACAATACTCATTTCTTTCATTTCCGATGCAGCATGTGGGGGGACGGCTCTTGTTTTTGTGCAAGAAAGCACCACCAGCAAGCTCGAAAACTAGGTGCACGAACAAGCACGAAAAGCAGCTAGCACGAGAATCAACAAGCACGCAACATTGGGGTATCCAACGGTTGCAACGAGACGGGTGAGACGAGAGGGAAACGGAGGCGGGCCGCAAAGGAACAGAAGTCTGCGTGCGCTGATTTGCACTTACCTAAGTGCCGGTAGTGCAGCATCGCGCTCTGTTCTGCAACGGTGTGGGGGTGCTCTAGAGCCTCTGACACGCACACCCCCAGGAAAAGCTCCTGTACGGGATGAGGTGAGATTGATGAAGGAGGAGGACGAGTAGAGAGGTTAGGGACCTTGAGGTTCAAAACTCTCTTACTAGTAGTGACACTAGTTGTGAGGCGCCTCAAAACTGGTGCTCTAGTGCCTCTGACACGCACACCCCCAGGAAAAGCTCCTGTGCACGGGACGAGTTGAAATTGACAAAGGAGGAGAACGTGTGGCCTTGAGGTCGAGAAACTTTTGAGGCGCCTCAAAAGTAGACTGCAACGGTGTGTGGGTGCTCTAGAGCCTCTGACACGCACACCCCCAGGAAAAGCTCCTGTGGATGGGATGAGATGAGTTGAGATCGAGAAAGGAGGGCAACGTGTAGAGAGGTTAGAGGGGCCTTGAGGTTGAGATGAGAGAGCACTTACTCGTAGTGACTGTGACACTAGAAGAGCACCCGGTATTCGATGACGGTCTATACGTGTAAGAGTCTACACGTAACTTGTGCAGGCACGATTGTCAATCATCACCGGCCGAATACTGGCAGGAGCAAGGCGGAGCGGATGGTCACACAGTCAAAGGCGCTTTTACCTGCGCTCAACCTTGCACCTGCACCTGCACTTTGCACCTGCACCTGCACTTTGCAGCAAAGGCGGAGCGGACTCCTGGGACTGGACACTCTCACTCTCACACCCCTCACCTGCATTACACGCCCTCAACCAGCAAAGCGAAGTCACGGTGCCAAAACCGCACATGCGCTTGGAATCGCTGGGCTGACTGAAACCACTCAGCCCATGGGTATATGGGTATTAGGTACAGGCTACAACCACGGAAGCTGTTCAAATCTCTAGAGGCCTTCCAGGATCTTCCTGTTCCAAACTTATTGAGACCTCGCAAAAAGCTCACAAAAACCGGTAGCCCCTTTTTGCTGGCTACGTTTAGATCGAGTTTTGAGACGAACAAGACCGCTAGGCCCTGGCTAGTGGGAGCAAGCAACCCTAGTGGAATTCTCAGACTCCACCCTGACAGGCCACTGCTGTTATATGGTCCTATGTTGAAATCACTTTTGAGAATTCTCAAAAGTGGAATTCTCAGTTCCACGGTCCACCCTGACAGGACGTGGCTGTTATATGGTCTTCCTCGCAGCCCACCTGGGTTGTGTTTTAAGTCGCCTCAAAACACGGTCCACCCTGACAGGACGTTGCTGTTCTATTCTCCTCGCAGCCCACCTGGGTCCCAGTTAAGTTGGGGGGTGTTTTGAAGAATTCTCAGAACCACCCTGGACCGTCTACAACCCAGGTGGACTGGTAGTTGTTCGGTAACCTACTGGCCGACTAGAGCCCCAATCAAGGGGCCGTGTGGGGACAAGAACGGGGGAGAGAGGATGAGAGGGATTAGCAGAAGTGAGATCAGGTTCCGAGAGGAGAGGATGAGAGGATGAGTGGGAATCTGAGTTGGACGAGTGGAGTGGAGTGGAGTGGAGTGGAGTGGAGTGGAGTGGAGTGGAGTGGAGTGGAGTGGAGTGGAGCGAAGCGTTACCGAGTTGTGAGGCGCGCAAAACCTCGAGCATTACCGTTGCATGGGTGATGAGCAATGCTGCTTCCGTACTCAGATGCATCTCCTTTTCTTTCTCCTTCTCCCTCTCCTCCTTCTCCTTCCCCCTATCCCTCCCACCCATGCCATCGTGCAAGCTGCTGAAGCTACTGCCAACAGCCCCCTGTGCCACGCGTTTCACTCGAGAGAAGGGCAGCTGGAACAAACCCGTTACTCCAAACGACGCTCGCCTCCCCTCATGCCCCTCATGCCCCTCATGTCCCTCATGTCCGTCGTGCCCCTCATGCCCCTCCCCCTCATGCTCCTCCCCTGCATTGCCCTCCCCTTCCCGGCCCTCGCTCTCCTGCCCATCCCCTCCCTCGCCCCCTCCTCCCCTCGCCTCCATTGCTTCTGCTTCCCTCCCCTCCCTCTCCCTCAGGCCGTCCCCACCATTCCCGTTCCCATCTCCATCTCCATCCTCTCCCCCATCCCCCCGCTGCTCCTCCTCCCTCCTATGTGCACCCTCAGGCGCGGTATTCCGCTCCGCCCTTGCCCTGCTCTTCTTCCCCTCTCCGGCAGCAGCAGAAACGCGCTTCCTCTTCTGCTCGCCCACACCCTTCCCCTCTCCCAGCCCATTCATGTTCTTCTGCCCTTCACTCTCCTCCTTCCCCAGTTGCCCCTGCCCCTGCCCCTGGCCCTGCCCCTGCTTCCCTTTAGCGCGCATCTCCTGCTTCAGCTTGCGTCCAGGCTCACGCACCCCAGCAGCACCGCCAGTGCTCCCAGGCGTGGCAGCCAGAGAAGGATTGTTGCCGTTCGCTGGCGCCCCAGCAGCAGCAGCAGCAGGAGGAGGAGCAGTCAACGCTGCTGCTGCCTTCGCCTTACCTCCACCTTCCCCTGTGAATGTTAAGGATTTAGCTGCTGCAGGGGATTTAACTGCTGCTAGAGACTCAGTTTCTCCTGCTGCTGCTGCTTGTGACTTGGTGGCTGGAGATTTCGTTGCTCTGGGTTTTGCTGCTGGAGACTTCGTCTTGGGCGACTTAGAGACCTCCAGAGAGGCTTTACTGCTGCTGCCCGGCGGGGTTCTGCTAGCTGCTTTGCTGCTTCTGGTTGGAGTAGGCTTCACAGGTCTTGATCTGTCCTCCTGGTTCCTTTCTTTTAGTGGCCTACCCCTGCCGTCACCAGCACCAGCACCATCTGCCTCCTCCTCATCAGAAGAATCAGCACCACCAGCCCCATCAGAAGCAGCAGCAGCAGTCTCCTTCTCATCCTCCTCCTCCCCCTCCCCCTCCACCACATCAACATCCACATCAACATCCTCCTCTTCATCTTCCTCCTCCTCTTCATCCTCTTCCTCCTCTTCCTCCTCTTCGCTCTCGCTATCGTCCAAAACAACCACTTCACAGTTGATTGGTACCCCTCGCTTCCCACCTGCTGCAGTAAAGCCTCGCTTACTGGCAACCCCGTTACAAGCCTTCTCAGCCTGGAGTCCTGTCTCGCTCCCATTCTCCAGTTCCCTTCCTCCATTTACCTTCCCGTACCCCGCTGAATTCCCTCCTCCCATCCCCCCCTTGTGTCGCCTGAGATCTTCCTTCCCCTCCTCTTCCTCCTGCACCTCCTCCTCCTGCTCCCCTTCCCCCTCCTTTTCCTCCTCCTCTTCCTCCTCCTCCTCTTCCTCTTCCTGATCATCCTCCTCCTCATCGCTATCTACTAAAATCACATCCGCTTCCGCTTCTCTCTCCGCCATG